CTGCGCAGTCTGCGACTGGAGCTGATGGGCGCACATGGACACGGCCTCGAAGAGTAGATGAGGGATCGTCAGTGAATGCTTGCTCAGCCACACCCCAGAACGTCGGACCATGTTTGGACCGCTTATGCCGCTTATGCCCTCAGAGACCATGCTGCGCACGCCAGTTTGCAGAAGCTTGAAAGCCAAATGCATGCTCAAACTGACAAAACTAACTGAGTCCCTCAATTCAACGCACGACTCAACCAGGGTCCTACGTACTCCTATACCTGATCCAATTTCATCTCCCGCGGCGTGCAGCAGGGGTTCGGCAAGCAGTGCTGCCTGCACGGCACAGGGCTTCAGGTCGTGCCTTAGAGCCTTCGCCTCTCGGCTGTAGCAAAAAACACATCCCTAAGTAGCCCCCAAGGTCCCAGAGGGCCCCAAAGCCAAGAGGAGAGGGCCAAGGAAGGCCAAAGCTTTGGCCCCACCTGGGCCGAGGCCCAGGGAGATCGCTGCAAAGCTTCAAAGGCCCGCTCAAAATGCCGCCTCCCAAGGAGGAGCAGCCAAAAGGGAAGGGGAGGGAACGGGACTCGGAGGGAGTTTCTTTTTTTTTAAATTGAAGGCGACGTTTAAAAATTTTAGAGCCTCGGGTACGACTCCCCAAGCTGGGGCAGGGCATCTTCCCTTCTTTTTGGGGTTTGGGGCTTCGGAGCTTCAGGCTTGGTCCTTATAAGGGTTTAGAGAGTCGGAGCCCAAGAAGGCTTCTAAGTTCATAGATGGCCGGTGGGAAGATTTTTAGAATGGAAGTCAACATAACCCCTCTCAGCAACATTAGCTACCAGCTACGAAGCGAGCTGCAAAGCAGCTTTAGGGTGAACATAAGCCCAAGATTGCAAAAATCTGCTTCCACCCGACACTTCAACCCGCAGCGCCCAATGCCGAGGCCTCTGTGCCTCCGAATAGGCGACTGCCTGTCCAGCGGGCAGTGGATTTCAGTTCCCTGCTTTTCCACACGTGATCCTTTGAGGATTGGAGTCCGCGGCGCGGTTCTCCCTTCGTTGCACGGCCTGGTCTGCGCTGGTGGCCACGCGGAGGGATGGCATCGACTCCTTTTGAGGAAGAGCCGAGAGCAGCTTAGAGCCTAAGTAGAGAACTCCGCGTATACCCCAAGAGAAGCCACACCGCTTTGAATCACTTCAGGACAGAACCTTGGCGTGCTTTCTGCGGCCTTCACGGCCGAAACGGAGCCCGATCCCCATTGCTTCTCTGACTGTTGCAAGCATCGCCGCCTAAGTCGACTCGCTTGGAAGGCTCCAACATTCAAGCGCTTCCACATGCTACCATCAGGCCAGGACCTGCGAGAACCCACTGCCAAGAACCCCAGGCACCTGGCCACAGCACCGCAAAGCCTCTCCCAAGCCTCCCAAGGGAAACCTTCAACAGCCTCGCTCCTGGAGGTTCTGCAGCTTCACGATGGCAGCGTAGGTGCAAAGCTCGCTGTGGCGCCTCCGGGGTCCAGGCTTCCCAAGTTCCCAAGTCCCCCGCGGCAGGCCTTCTAAGGCGTTTCTCTTGGAAGCCGAACATACTCTTACACTTTGCTGTCACTGAAGGGCACCTCCACTGCAGTGCACTCAGCGCGGCGTTCAGCAGCCTCGTTTTCGGATCCATGCCAAGAAACAAAACCGCCAGGGCCTGAACCGTCAAAAAAACTAGCAGGCCGTTCTCTGGGAATGAGTTGAATGATGGCACCTACGCAGCAGACGCTGCTAATAATCTGAAAAGCTCAATGTACACGAACGGGCCAGCAAAATACAAAGATAAGATCGTCTAGAAAAGGGTAGCACATCCCGAACCACTGGGAAAGCACAGCGCGAGCTACATAGGACGTGCATGTCGGGAAGGACCCCATGAGGTTGAACAATGATGAGATGCAACAGCCCCTCGAGCTTTGCGTCCTTCGCAGGTAGGTAGATAGGTAGGTAGGAAGGTAGGTAGGAAAGAAGATAGGTAGGTAGGCAGGCAGGCAGGCAGGCAGGCAGGCGGCACATATGTGTGTCCAGACTTTCTCACACGCAGGCGTTGGCCAAGCTGCGCCAGCAGCAGTCCGGGAAGCCATGGCCCATTCAGGCCCAAAAGCAAGCCTGTGCCGCATACCCTCACCACAACTAGCATCCGCAACGAGGGACGCGACTCCGACATGTCACTAAACACGACTCAGCCCATCAACACTTGGGCCAAACTTCGAAATCCACTGCACCTCCAGGCCCTCGCGCTTGCAAGCGCCAGCTCCCGCAGATCTCACCTCATGCCGAGTTCTACTTTCTGCATCGTTCACTGACAAAGCTTGGAAAGTCTCTTCATTCCACGAGCCAAAGTGGGCACACATATACCGATTTCGGATTTACGCCTGGCAAACCACCAACTTGGACAAGAACGAGCGCGCACGCACGCACGCACACCCATCTGAGAAGGCGCGGGAACAGGACGCCGCGATAAATACTCGTCACTCACAATTCAATAATCGCGGTCTCCAAGCGACTGAATGCTGAGCTTTGGGCAAAGCGAAACATCCGAGGGCGCGGCACGGCAGCCATAGGCCCAGTGCCAGGTGCTGCAGTGCTGCAATCCTGAGCATGTAGGAACGAGCAAATCGGCGGAAGTGCCTCTCCAAGACCATGAAGACGTCTTTCCGAAGGCTGGGTCATGTGCATTCCAGAAATCCCCATGCCTCATATCAGAGCTGCTTTGACTTGAGCATATGCACACGGAGGGAGGGGGAGTGAGAGAGAGAGGGAGCAAGAAGAGAGAGGGAGAGAGACAACAAAAAAAGAGCAGGATAATACCAAAAAAGGGCAAGCCAACTGAGCCAACTGACAGGTGCACATGTGCGCGTGTGTTCCGAAAGTTTCTGAATCAAAACTGCCTATGTCAGGGATCCTGGATTGACAAAACCTACCTCCAGGCCTGAACCGATGAGTCGATGAGTAATCAATGATAGCCAGCCAAGCCACTGCGCAACCAGTGCAAATATCAGCGGCGGCAATCGCCTCAGTGGCTCAGTCTGTGGAGCGGACCGGGGCGTTGAGGCTTTCACGGCTTATGAACGTTAGGGTTTGGGGGGTTTGCAGCTAAGGGTGTACACGCTTTTGCTTCAGCGGTTGCAAACATGGGCTTCGGGTTTACGAGAGCCTTGGGCACACCCAAAGACCTCCGCCTCTCAAAAGCTACCTGGGTTTTTTGCTAGCTGGGGCTTGGGAAAGCTATCCCAAGGACAGCCAAGCCAACTCTAAACCCTCCATCGATTCCCCAATACCAACACCTACAAGATTCCGCGTGCCTTCAAGAAGGGAAAATTGGCGTTTTGAGCTTGAGAACTCTTATCATTGTTTGTCTGCAGCAGGATGGCAGGATACTTGGAAGCTCACTTTCGGCAGCGCTGCGGCCGGAGGTCGCCGGCTGCCAAGAGCCCAGCATCACTGTGATCTCCGCACTCTCTGGCCCGGCCGCTCGAAGGCTTCTCATCATGCGAACTCTCCCAGAGCAGTGCCACGCCACTACATCCGGCCCAACAACTCGCCGTCACATCCAGCGACTGCAGCCGGGCTTTGCACCAGGAGAAGTCAGTGTTTAGGCCAACGGGTATACAAGCGCCAAGGCAGCTGTTTCATGTTTTGCCGACGGCGACCTTCCTGCGCGACCCTGAGCTTTTCGGCTCAGGAAGCGGCCGAGATGCTCCGAGCCCGGGCCCTTTGCTGCGGGTCCTTGAAGGCACCCTGAGGAACGTCGAAACCTGTTCTGAAGCCCTGGACCAGAGCTGAATCCGTGCCAGGAAACGAGAAGAAAGCTGCGACTGCGAGCAGAACAGAAATCCAGAGAGCTGCAAAGGGCTCCTGCGTCGCAAAAGTCGGAAGACTATCGCGGGCTGAGGGCTAGGCGCAATTGCTCTCGGGTCTAAGGTTGCAGGGCTTCAGACCTCTGAAACTGCCCGAAGCCTCGTAAAACTCTTCTTCAGCAAGGCGAGTCGCTGCCATGGACAAGAGAAGGCACCTAGGTCTGCTTTGTCCCCAGGGCTGTGCCGTTTTGGCTAAAAGGGTGCTGGCTCGAAGTGGCCCCAATCCCAATTCAAACCTGATGTCTTTAGCAGGACAGAGACTTGGACAAGGGTCAACAGCCAGAGCCACAGCGAACCGGCAAAGGAGAAGAGAATCGTCGTCTGCTTGGACTCCGGGTGTCGCCTCGAGTGCTCTGCCATGCCCAAAGGGTGGGGGGGGGGTTACTCGGGGTCGGGAATTATTGCGACGTGGAATCTGGGAAGAGACCTGGGAACTGACGGAGCCAAGGACTTGCACACTCTGCTATTTCAGCTTCTAAACAGGCCGAGCTTCTCCAGCAAGACAGCTAGTCCTGCAGAGCAGGGCAACGATGGCTGATGTCTTAGGTACTGTAGGTGTGAAGGATGGCGGTCTGACAGATTCCATACTGTGGCTGGAACGTTGCTGTGCCACGCTGTTGGGCTTGCTTTTTGCACATGCACGGTGCCATGTTGTCGACGCTGGTGCTACCGTCTATAATATTGTTGTTCGCTGCTTCTTCTGCACACTGAACACTGGTCTTTAAAGCCTGCGGCATGGTAAATGCTTGGAGGGTCGCTGACCGGGCATGATTTTTGCTTCCTCCAGAATGGCTTTGAAGCAAATCCAACTTCTGCACGCTAAATTCGGCTCAAAACTTATCTGTAGCCCGACCTCGTCGATTTTTTGTGCAAGCATCCAAGTATTTATCGCTTCAATAACTTGTCCCAGTTTTCATCTTAGTGAGCTGCCTGCGTACATGGCTACCTACCTTCTTCCTCTTCAGCACAGGCAAGGCGCGGTCTGTTCGACAACACCCGTCTGCGCACTCCGTGGAAACGGTCGGTGTGACACAAAGCACAGAGCTACAGTGCCGCTTCACCGACGTTCAAGCCCCACTCCTACTCCCAACCCGCTTGAAGGCTGAGTGTTTCAGCTCGAGCGGGGCTCCCAGGAACTGGGAGCCTGGGAACCCTTAAGACTGTCGCTGCGGCTACATGGTACCTCTCTCTCTCGCTCTCTTGTCCCTTGTCTCCCTTTGCTCTGTAACTTCGTGCAGCTTCCCCCCAAACGTTCCCGACCCTCCCGGATGTGCAACAGCAAAATAGTAAGGGTGCTCTCGGGATGTCTTTCACGTGGTGTGCGTTGAAGGGACCGGCTGCTATCGGATCTACTGCTGCGGGGATTGGAAGAACCAGTGCTGAGAGGGCTCCTTGATGCAAGAGAAAGGCGACAGCAACGACCACGCTGCCTCTCCAGGGAAAACTGTTTTCAGGCTTCGGGGCTTGATTTCAGGGCTTGGGGGGCATGCAAAGCAACATGAAACTGCGTGAGGCTCCATGGTGCTCCCGAGCCAACTTGTCGGTCTTCCATGTAAACCCGAAACGTCTTCGAGCAGAGTGCCTGCAAGCTGAAAAGAGTCTGTCAATCCGCTTGGGTTCGCGGCCTCAGATGCCATGCGAGCTCGGATGAGCGAAGGTAAAGTGATTTTCAGGCAAGGCTGAAGCTACAAAGGAATCCTTCGCATCAACACATACAGCAGAGATCAGCAGATACGGTTCTCGAAAGAAACTTTCCTGCCCGAGTTGGTTGCACCACCCCTCGTACTCTGCCTGGTCGGCCTAGCCCTTTTCCATACTCGCGGGCTGTGGATGGTTGTGGTTCAGTTGGAAGATGTTGGGAATGTCTGCAGCCGGGACACGATCAGCGCAGCGATCGCGACGAGACACTGGACGCATGCATGATAAAGCAGCCACGGTTCCTGTCCGTTACTTGCGGCTGTCTCCTGTTGCTTTGGGGAAAGGGCAGAAGACGAGTCCGGGATTCTGCAAAGCTCCTTCACAAAAAGCCCCCCCTATAGTAAGCCCGCAAAGGTCGGGCACAACCGTCTCGCACAGCCGCTAGAGTGAAGGCCAGGCCACAAGGCCCGTGGATCCGATGGCAGGCGCTTGCCAGACAGGATGCAAGTCAAACATGGCTCCCCCGGTGCTCCCCCGCGCTACGCTTGATGGATCTTATGTGGTCTGTGTCGACTCTGTCTGGCTGAGGGAAGCTCCGGTGACTCGAAGAAGTCAGGTTTGAGCGGCGTCTTCAAAAGATGGTAGCTGGTAGGCCTGTCCCCAAGCCGGGGTGAGAGAAGACATGTTTGGATTTGGAATCTCCTGGAGCTTCAAACTTCAAGACAAAGGAAAGTTTTATAGGCCACCAGATTAGGCAGCCTCGGGCAGAGATGTGACGGATGGGTTCGCCCTGGATTCCCCTCAACGGCTTCCTTTCAAGCACCACTACTGGCCTAGGCCGCCAACCTTCAAGGGGCACTTTGGCAGGCCTAATCCTGAAGCAAAGGGCCCTTCCGACCCCGTCCAGCCCCGTCTTTGGGTTCTGAAAGTCCAAATCTTCCTCAAAGTGGCAAGCGGACCCCGAGGGCCGGAGACACAGTCCAAAAGCTTAGACCGCGCCTAGGTCCATGAGGACAGGACACAAGTCTGCTGCCAACATGACCTTCTCCGGACGGATGTCCCTGTGCAGGACGTGTCTGTAAAGTGAAGGGACTTCAAGCGTCTAACTAGCAAAATGCTTTAGGCTTCAAGGCGCCTGTAAGGAGGAACGGGCACAGCATGAATTCCATGTCCTGCCGTAAGTTGCAGGCGGCCTGTGAATGATGTTCTTGCTGTGCAAGAATGCCACTGCGGACAGTAAGCACACCTGAGTCTCAGGGAGACTTTGTGTGAGAGCCCATGCTTTTTTCACTTAGCTGTTCGATTGTTACAAGTGTCCGCGTGTGTCTTTGTGAGTGCTCGCTCGGGTTTGCTTGTTTCGGTCGCATGTGGCCTGCCTCCCTGCAAGATCCCACAAGCCCTTCTGCTTGTCGTTGTGTCCGGCTTCTGCGTGGCTTCCTCTCTCCTCTCTTTGTCTCTGCTGTTCCTGTGTCTGTGTCTTTGCGTATTGCTTCGGTATGTGCTCTCTTTCTCCGTCTGACTGTGTCTGTATCGCGACCGACTTCACCCTGTTGTTCTCCTGCTTGCTTGGTTGTTCTATTTTTCTCCTAATTTGATCTACCCTTGGGAAGGACAATGGGCAACAGCCAAAGGTGGTTGGCTCCCAACCGTGGGCTCTGACTCAGCCCTCGTGAACACACGTGATGGCTGCGAATGAATGAGTGTGCCTGTCTGTTAGAAACAACCCCGCCTTTTGGTCCAACGCACATATGTATGGAGACAACACTAGACAACACGTTGCACATGTGTGAATGTTGAAGGCGGGGCCCCGCGAGTGCTTGCACTAAGGTTCTGCTCCTGAGGTTCTCCATAGTGCTGCTGGAGTCTGCTAGATCCTAAGAGTGGCAAAGTAGCCTTCCCCAAGGCTTTGGCTACACAGTTATCAAAGGTGTTGAGCCGAAGCCACGGAGACGATGTCGCCCTTGCTCATAAAGAAGGGGCCGTTCCTGGGGGGGGAACTTCGATTATTTTTTCTGCTAAACTTTCAGCTGCTCTTGCCGGCAAACCTGGAGTGCTACAGCCATTTGCCACTCCGTAATCGATTCACTCCTCTAACTTCTCGTTTCCATGCTTCCCGTTGTGCTCGAAAGGCAGAAGACCCTGATGTCTCATAGTCCAAGGCCCAGGTGAAAGCTACAGGGGGTATGCGATGCCCCCTCTTCCCTAGCCGTTCACAGCTTCGGCTTTGGGCTCGAGGGCTTCGAAGAGCCATGCTTGCGATGAGAAGAGTGGCATGGGATGCATATCCGAGTATCATTTCAACCCAGTCCATCAGCCGTCCGTGTGGATACAAAGTCATGGCAATGATCCACACGGTCCTGCCATGGAGATTTCACTGGGGGAGCCAGGCTTCCGAAGCTTTTCAGGCGCATCTGATCTCTATGGAGATACTCCATCATTGACGATGGTGATGAGGAGGAGGATTCGTGTCCAAAACAGGCAAAGCCCGTCCCACAGGATCTTTATCAATTTGAGAAGCTGCACCGCCCATCACTGGCCTGTACCTCTGCTGCGAGAGGTACGTGCCTTACAGCCGGCAGATGCAAAAACACTTCCAGGTCTCAAGAAGGCGGCAAGACACCGCGAGCCCCACGCTTTGAGCCCCAGGCCTAGCATCGAGCTGATGTTCGGATGACGGCCGCAGGTGGACCTGCCAGGTGGCCCGGGGCGAGCCTGGCTCCTCTGCAAGTCTGCAGATGTCTTAGGGCCCTGCAAGAAGTACACCTCGTTCACGACCTCGGACCCGGATGATTCGCGCGTTCAAGAACCATCCTAACTTGCCCAATTCGCCGAACCGGACAGGTTGAATCCAACAGAAACCCAAAGTCTCCGCCTCTGACAGATCGCCTCATGACTGGAGGTTTGGACTGCACGTCCCTGCTCACTTTCACGTGCTTCTCGAACAAGCCTTTGAGTATGTCGCATGGTCCGCTATGTTTCGGCTTAAGTTGCTTGAGTTAAACTTCAGCTAAACTTGAACTGCGACGACGATGCCAACGTGTGAACCGCAATATCTATGAATCTAGCTGCTATGTCTGCAGCTACGAACCCGCAGAGCCTGCAGGTGCTCAAGTTTGTGAGCCGCTGCTGCTCGGAGACTTGAGCAAGCAAATGAAAGGCAAGAGCACAACTGTTCAACAGCAGAAAGAGGCGCAGGAGGGACGGACTTGGCCCTGGCCTTGCAAGTTCCACCTCACATTATTAGGTCCCCGGACCGAGATGGACTGCTCCGGATTGTCCACCTTCTGCAGGAGCTTCAGCCTCAAAACGCGGCAAAAGGCGAAGCTGCGAGGCTCGACTTCCTCCGGGCGAGGCCCTGGGTCCTGGCGCAACCCGGCGAGGTCTGCCCGGAAGCTCGCGGTCACTCCTGAGATTGCCAAGCGGTTGCCAGAAGCTTGGGGGCAAGGCGGCAAGGAGGCCCTGTCTCTATCAACCTCGAGCATCCCCACCGCCAGCAATGCATCAACCCACCCCCACCGCTTCGGAAATCGAAGCCCCGCAAGCAGGTGAAGCATGTCAATTTGCAGCCGGAAAGTTCGAAGGATCTGCGTTCGCTTGTGAGCCATGTCTCGCGGCCCAGGCTTCGGGCACTTCCTTCTCGTCCTGCGGCAGAGCGCGAATTCAGTCGCAAAGCTCGGAGTCGGAGGGCTTAGAACAACACTGCAGTCGGAGCACATAAGAGAACTCCCCGAGCCCTCAGAGCCGGCCTCGAGGGCCTCGCTCAGTGGCAGAACGTCGTCTCTCGGCCTCAGCGCAACAGGGCCATGAAGAAATCTGAACCTGAAAACCTGAAACACCCTCCCATGAAAGCCACGGCTGGGGTCCCCGGCTGTCCTTCGTAGACGATGCTATATCCACCTCTGCGGGGCTTCGCTCTTGTGCTCTCGAGCCCACATGGAAAAGCCATCGACGTCGTTCCAACGGGGGGACCGGCCAGGAACTTCGTCAAGATAGCTCTCGCACGAGGTCGAGGTGGCGCAAAGCAGGAGAACAACAACAAGGGCACAGATGCCATCTCTGAACCGTATCAATCTATCTATACATAAATATATACATATACATATATATATATATAGATAGATAGATAGATAGATTAGATTTATCAGTGCGAGTGATGTCTTCTGCGTGGGTATTTCGTGGTCATGCGACTCGGGGTTTCTTAACCGCCCTCTGCAGGCCGCCCGCCTGATCCCAGGACCGTGCAGGTCAAGAGGTAGCTGGAATTAAAGTCCTGGGCGATGCCCCAAGCCCGCTATGGACTGTCCATCCAGCAAGTCCATGATGTCTAGGACACAGACATACCTCCACACGTCCTCCAACTCAGGCCGAATGCATGATTCGTTTGCACGGCTTGGATCGGACCGACATCGGCCGACTAACCCACCAAATTCAGCGCAGGAGCCCAGCGCAGCGCACCGCTCGTTCCCAGGAGGTGGAGGAATTCCTCCATCCTTGGAAGCAAGAGCTGCGGAGGGCTGCCCGGTCCAGCCAGGTTCAGCCAGAAGCACACGGGTTCAACGCGGGGGTTCCCTGCAATGTCCATCCCTGCTGGCAAGGGGCTCGGTGGAGCCTGACCTCGTGGCGGGCCACGCTCTCACAGAAGGGCACGGCGCTTCCCGTTGCTTCACAGGACTTTCCGCACATGACTGTATGAATCATGTAATCTTATGTAGCGGTGTAGACTGGCGAAAGGTGGTGGCGGTGGCGGTAGTAGTCGTAGTAGCCGTCGTAGTAGTAGTAGTGGTGGTAGTAGTAGTAGTAGTTGTTGTTGTTGTCGTCGTAGCAGTAGTAGTAGCAGAAGTAGTAGTAGTAGTAGTAGTAGCAGCAGCAGCAGCAGCAGGAGGAGGAGTAGGAGTAGGAGTAGGAGTAGGAGTAGTAGTAGTAGTAGTAGTAGTAGCAGTAGTAGTACTAGTAGTAAAAAAAGTACTAGCACTAGTACTAGTACTAGTACTAGTACTAG